AACACGGTTAAAAAATATTCTGGTCATAGCTTTTATTTCAAAACTACAAAATAAATACAGTACTGTATGTTAAGTTTAAAAACTTCATTTCATTTTTCAGTTGATTACTGAAGCTACCTTGCTGATAGCAGACGTTCCCAGTTCAATTGTAGCCGTAACCAACCTTCAATAAAGAAAATACATCGGTTATTCTGACCTTTATTTGCTTAGATATTTTATTGATACATTAATAGCCTATATACCGTATATTTTGTTTTCCGATCCTACATAGATAATAATGAGTAACACTGTAAATAAATTGAAACATACTTCGATAGGAATTGTTAGGTGGTTATACAAGCCTATTTATACCTCCGAAGTATGTTACAGTTCCAAAAAAAAAATATGTATATCACAGTTTTCTTTAAATTTTATAACCTGCACTACTGACTATTAGCGAAATAACTTTACATCTCAAAACTAACTCGCTCATTGTTCGCCTGACAATAGAGAGATCGGGCGTGCCGCGAATTACGTAATACTTTACCATCAACTTTTTTGACTCGCTGTCCAACGTGGACCGCACTTATACTGCGAGTTCCGACTTTTAACAGGAAGTAGATGCTAAACAATTACGTAATGGACCACTCGCTGAATACGGGCGCTCGAATTTTCCACGATTATTTTCCGCGGAAATAACGCAGGCAAGGGTAGGTAATATCTGGATGGTACTGTACTTGAGCAAGTTTTTTTTGCGTCATACAATTTAAATGTGCATATGTGCATTTCCCTACGTACGATACGTCACTGCTTTTTACCAAATATGAAATCCTATATATTGAATGATATATTTATTGAAATATATGACCTTGACTAATGTATACATAAATGATATGTAGCATAATACCAAACTTACAATATAAAAAATATTTATAATTTCTAAAAGTAGCACAGTAATTATTATCATTTATTTATCATATCATTATATAAGTTTTTTGTAGAACACAAGTACAGTAGAACCAAAATATAGGGGACAAATTCGGGAGCAAAAAAGTGACCTCAGATATAGGGATGTGCTGTAGTATTAAAAGATATATTTTCTCTCAGTTGTAGCTGAAAAAAGTGTCCCTTTAATAAGGGTTTCCCTTGAATAGGGTTAGCCATTGCATTAAAAGATATACTTTTCCTCATTTTGGATACAAAAATTGTACCTTTAAAAGGGGTGCCCCAAAGGTAGGGTGTTCTACTGTATTCAAATTTAGATAGACAATACATATTCATATATCAGAGAAGCACATAGTAATAATAATGACAGGAAACGTGCTCTGCAATCAAGCATGCTATACTACTTCCTATTACAATCTTGCATAGAAATGACAATCAGGACTTTTAAGACTTACTTATTTATTTATTTACTTTCAACTTTCTTCTACACAGAGGACTTCATCAGGAAACTGGAATCTTGTGTAATGTATTCTTTCATATTGTGGTCCAGTTTTGGCAAAAAAAACTCTGAATTTTAAATTTTTAATCAGAAGAGTTGCAACTTTGCTATTACTGTAAACACAACCAACCTCACCATTTATTAATACAATCATCAAATGCCCACCCTAACCTTTATTATTATTGGTCTGTATGGTATTCAACTAGTGGAAAGGTATGCAGGGGTGTATCCAGGACTTTTTCTGGTTGGGTTGTGATCATAATTTTTAGACCTATTCACAATGAAATAACAGCATGATGTGATTATAATGTCAATACAATTTGCTTGAAGCGAAGTGCAGGCTTATTTTCAGAATTGCTAGAATTGCGATAGATTACGTCATGCAATTTGCAAGGTCTTTGTGGTACCTCATAAATGCTTTTTCATTAATGTCATTGTGAAAAGGCCCTAGAAAAAGATGTCTTTGGAAAAAATGTGCACCTTTGAAAATTTTGTGGCGGTCGTACAACCTTCCCGACCACCCCTTGCATACACCCATGGTATGAATGCTAATGAATTGTAAAGAAAGACTTCAAAGACGAATTAAATTATTTTCAAATTATTCGCAACATTAAAAAAAATCAAGTTAATAACATTTTTATTGTTGATATTCATTTATTTTCTTTAATTAGGTGAAATGTTAAATAATTCATCCCACTTCCTGCTGTAAAGTGTATAGAGTTATTTTACATTGCGCTGTAAGTTCACAGTTAGTATTAATTTTTTATTATAGAAAGCTATACCACTATACTTTATAGTTCTATATTTTTTTTTACCAATTATATCACCAAGGGGATACTCTTAAGTCCATTGAAGAAATTTAATAATAATAATAATAATAATAATAATAATAATAATAATAATTAATAATAATAATAATAATAATAATAATAATAATAATAATAATAATAATAATAATTTAAGGATGATGCTTTAAAAGTACAGATTTACAGTTTTTTTTACTATTGCAGGTTTCTATTGTAGTTGCTTTTTTTGGTTAATTGTCAAACAGATAGTTATTAGCAGGTTTGATGATGATATTAAAAAGATATGTTCTTGTTTTTCATGAGCATTTTTTTTTTTTATTAAAAAAGAATTTTATGATTTAAATGTTTTCAGTTGTTAGAATTTTATGATTTAAATGTTTTCAGTTGTTCTATGTTTTATTGTAGCAATTTCCAGTATTTACAGCATTTATTTTTTGAAAAGATACTTTGTCTTTAGTTTGCAAAAGTAATCTTGAAAAGAAGCCCAACCTGCAGTTTTAAATAAAAAGAATCCTATGGACTTTTTGAGGTATTACTGTACGGTAGCTAATAATTAAATATTTTTATCGTGTTGTTTCCCTTGTTTGCTACTGCAACTGACCGTGGATGGTATGAGATTATTGATAATCCACATGGATTTTTTATTTCATCCTCGTCTTTATCAATTCTTTTAATGAAATTTCCATCGCTACTAAATAGCTGCAGTTTGTGTTCACTTGATATAATGATGTTGTCGTCCGCATCCACTACTATTCCGCATGGCTTCCACATCTTATCTGCTTTGACTAGGTTTTTTATGAATACACCCCTATTATCATGTACTTGTAATATAAACCCGTCCAACCAATAATGTCCAACATTGTAATATACTAATAGGCTCTTCGGGTCACGTAATGCAATCACGTCTCCTCCCTTTGTCATTGTAACATCAGAGATGCTGCATCCTGATTGTAAAGTCTTCATTTTTTTACCACTGTCAATGTCAAACACATGGCTGTTATTCTTATCTGCTACATACACAGTATTTGATGTCTCATCCACATGGATTCCTTTGGGATTTTTCAGTTCTCCCTTACCAATTGATTTGATCACCTGACCATCCATAGTAATGAATGTGATGCATTTACTATCACTATCACTAAATGCTATGGCATTCTTCATCTTGTACATTCTGTTGACTTTTACACCAACTGGTAATGTTATCTTATCAACATACTCCCCTGATTGCTTGTACCTGAAAATGTCTTCTGTGCGACAAGAAACTCGCAAGCAATTAAATTCACCCATAACTACATCTGAAACAATTTCTTGGTTTATTTTAATGGTATTAACTAGGCCTTCCTTCTCAACTTTGAATGTCATTGGTGACTGTTTGATTAGTTCACCATCAACACTCACATCAAGTCTACAAACACCTGGGCTTGTGCATCTTCCTGTCACAATGTGATTACCACTGTTGTCTTTTTCAACTTGAGTGACGTTGATTTCTCCTGTAGGGTGTGTCCAAGTTGCCTTTAATTGATTTGAACCTATATCACAACCTTCTTTTTTTATTACATTGACAACAATTGGCTGACCTTGGGTCACATCTTTCCCTTCCCGTAATTCTAGAGAGTCTACTGCCATCATTTGTGTTACTGTTCCGATATCACAATGCTGTTGCAACAGAGACATTTCATGTTTGTTAATATAGAAGTAAATTTGTCCATTATCTTTTGGCTCTGTTTTTGGAATTTCTTTGATTCTCTCCTTCAGTGCTGTAATCACCATTTCACTTGATTGCATCGCTGTTGCTTCATCACTCTTCAATAATTGATTGAGATAACTTAATTTTGTACTAACATCAGATATAGTTATTCTCAGTTCATCCATTTGTTTATTGTTCACATTTTTTTTCTTTTTGTAGATTGTCTCTACCTCATTTTTCATTTCATCACCTTTCTCTATGATTTTTTTTACTATCTCTTGCACAAGATTTTCAATATCTCTCAAACTGGTTTCTTTACTTTTTTCTAATTTGGTATCATTTTGAAGAACTGCTCTGAGGCCCTCTTTTAAAATGTCTCTATAATGATTTGCATCATCTCTCAATTTCATAGCGGTTTTTTGGAACTTTTGAAATGCTTCTGTAATTGTGATTGATTTGTGCTTTCCTTCCCACTCTTTGTGGTCCATAAATGCACAAGTAATGCATGTTGGAATCTTACAATCTGCATTTATACAGTAGAACTCTAAAGGTTTATCATGGATTGAACACAGTGGTGAATGCAACAAAGCAAAGTCTTGCTGACTCATTGGTTTTATATCCTCCACTGCACGTAGTTTGTGCTTTGCCAGCACTGGAAATATTTTGTGATGGTCGCTACAAGTAATGCACAAGTAATGCCTGCAGTCCTGGCAGTAACATTTTGCCTGACCATATGTTCCACAAACACATATCATCTGATCTCTTTCTATAAATTTTTCCTTTGTTTTTATTAAGTTTTCAAAAAAGGTATTTAGAGGAAGTTTCTGAAGCCCGCCCTCTGGAATGTTATGCGATTTCCAACAAGTCGGGCAGGTCAGCTTACCTTCCTTGACCCTGTCCTCAAGGCAGGCCAAACAAAAACTATGGAGGCAGTTGAGAGATTTAGGATTTTGAAGTTCCTTTGAGCATATGGTACATTCTAGTAAATTCCCCTTAACATCTTCCAGAAACTCCCTGGTGGCCATCTTGAAATAAACCTCTGAAAGATATATAATTTTTTGTTTTGTATTTTTTAATATATTTGGAATACAAAACTAGTGACTAAGAACCAACTTCTTAAACAGGACTGGAAAAAGTATGCCACCACACAATATGCGGGTGGAGGCAACTCTCATTTTTCTCAAAGTAATTGTAAAAAATTGTTTACATTTTTTTTTTTTTTTTTTTCTCCAGACAATGACTCAATTCCTAATACTGGAGGCATTTTATAAGATATATTATGTCTGTAGGCACAGGTTATTAGGGGGATTTTGCAACCGTAGGAAAACAATAACGAATATGCCATTATCATTAACGTCATTCGTGCCTAAGGTTTTTTGACTATGATGATACTAGCTGAATGTGATCCTTTATCCATAACGTAATAGTTTATTCTGCTGTATAGGGTTATCTAAATATTTGATGACGTAACCATATTTGTTATCGTTTTCGTAAGCTTGCAAAAATTCCCTGTTATTAAATCTTACAGAACAGAAAAAAAAAACCCCATTCTTTTTGTTTGCAGTAGCATTTGCTTTTGCATCGCTTTTTATCATGTTTTTAAGCGCGAAGACTTCGGTATAATGTGCTATACCAAATCCAATAAATCCAATAAATTTACAAATACTTATAATTATGTTATTCATAACAATTATAACTTTACACACAATTTATTGGC